CTTGTGAACTGCCCCACTTGACACCTCACGAGCACCTATTTAGTAGTACCTAGTATTGGAAAGGTTGGTTACTGGGACTTTGTCTCACCCCGTGGTTTATAATGTTTTCAGGTGAAGTTTCTAGGCGTGCGCCTTCGGGAAGAGACGCAGAGGCTTGAGCTTGGTTAGCTTTAGGCCTCTAGCCTTTGTTTATATATGAACAGTTGTATATTGCCACAGTTAGGGTCCTTTGAAATATTTTGATTACCCGGCCTTATTGTAAATTGGAGAATATGTTATCTCCTCGTTTTAGTTGGTCGGAGGCCATTTCTATTGTGTCATGAAACTTTGTTACATGGTTGAAAACTAATTGGATGGGCTGCTTTTGATGTATGTTGTTACCCGGGCCGGAGGCTCGGAGGCCCAATGGATTATGAATGAATGATTTTAGTTCCATGCAACGGAGTACGGGTTGACCCGAGTTTGAAAGTCAATTTCTAAAAATATGAAATTTTCCTTCTACTATGGTAGCTCATTTTAACAGCTTTTCTTTTTTATCATAGTAGTGGTTTTATGACGAGTTATAATGTTTTGAGGTTAAGGGTTTTTACAGTTATCATTCGTCAAAGTGAACTTATCATTTTCCATAGTTAACTTGTCATTTGGGTTAGGGGTATTTCAAACATTTCACTATGATTTCATATTTATAAAAGTGAAACCGGGCTCTTATTTGCTACTTTTCAAATTAAAAGTCTCAAATAACAATTTTACATATTCGGTAGTTTTTATTTGTAATTTCCCCTAAACTTTTTTAGAGCCTTCAAAAGACTTCATAAAGCTTGAAACCTTTTCAAAAGCCTACTTATGATGCAGGCTTTTAAATAGGCATAAAAAGCTGTAACTCTATTTTATGTACAACTTTTTAAACTTATTTAAAAACTTGCTATGTGTTTTAAACAGGTCTTGAAGCTATAAAAAAAATACATATGATTTAATTATTTAAATAAATTTAATCTTAATTTACAATAAAATAACAAAGTTTCATTCATTATAATATCTCATAAAAACTAAATACCATCACAATTTTACTAGCTCAATGTTCGGAGATAGACTCAATTATAATTTAGTTATTATGTTTGTAATTATCTGTTAACTATTTTAAATAAGAAAAAGAAAAAATAATAACAAAAGTTTGCATAAAATTATAAATAAACTACAATAACATTTTTGTTAAAAAAAAAATAGAAGCCAATGATAAGAAGTAAAATGTAATTTAAGAAGTGAAATGGCGAAAATATATTTAGGGGGTGTTTGGATGAAAACCAAACTATGGTTTCAAAAGTGATTTTACAGTTTACAAAGTAAATATGTGGAGAAGTTTGCCTCGTTTTGTAGAAAAGTGCTTCTGAGAAGCACTTTTAAGGATTACCAAACACTTTCTTAATAGATAGATAGCCTCAGAAGTGAAGTTTGGATCTCATAAAAAGGGATTTTTGGGGGGGGGGGGGAGAGAGGGAATAAATAATTTGCTTCATTACTTGGGCAATTTCTAATTTGGCCCATGTTATACCATGGTTAAATTTGAGAATCGATTTCTCTCTGCCCAAAAACAGATGATTGGTGAATTTGAGAATTCCAAACCTCTTCACATCCGGCCGGCACCTCTCGCCGTCAGCATCTCCGGGTGGTACCCCTTGCCGTTATTGTCTTTAGCTCTAGCTTTTGGTCAATGATGGAGATGCTGCAGTTGCTCGCATGGCAGTTTCCAATGAGGACTTATCACTTCACAGTCACGGGTTTGAGTCTTTAGTAGAAGATTGTTCGAATTGGTCCTAAATAAATTCATCACATGTTAGCTCTTTTGCCTCTTATTCCCATTAATGATCGAAATGTTTATTATATTCAGAACTAACTTGCAGACTCAAAACGGCTTAGATATTTGAGTTCCTCTGCATTCCCTTGTTTCTGGGAGTTTGCCAAACTTTCACAAATAGCTTGAAGCTTGGCTTCCACAGAGAGGAATGAAGAGGTCCCAAATCCACTAGGCATTTGACTTTGCCCGGAGGGAACGGTCCTTAAGGTTGGAGGTGGTAAAATGGAACAGCCCGCTGGTTACGGGCCAACTTGTCCTGGACTCGACACCATGCGGTCCAATCCTAAAAAAACCACCTTCTAGTAGGCTCATATTTTGCTGGTTCACCCTGCCAAGGGGGTTGGCGGGTTGGCCTACTAACCTCTATCTTTTTTTAAAAAAAATTTCTTACACATATATTTAAAGTTTTTAAAATTAAATTATAAGTTTTTATATATCAAATTCTTCTTATTGTTATATTTTCATACAATTGTATAATTAAATTAATATCAAAATTTGAAATATAAACATATAATTCATTATTAATAATTATTTTATTAGTATAAAAATAGTAAAACAATAAAGAAAATAAGAAATCAAATTTAAAATCAAAGTCTCTAACAAAATACAAAATTATATGTAAATTAAGTGAAAATGATAAAAAAATTTCTTATTAAAATTAAAAAAATTATAAATTTTTTTAAAAAAAAATTAAAAAACTGGCTGGCGGGTGCGGGTTGAAAAGGACCACATAAAAATAATCTCTATTTTCTTCAATCCAACCCACCACTTCAAAGCAAGTTGGCGGATTGAGCCTGCTTATTAGCTCTACTTATGCATTAGTTAGCCTAAGGGTGAAATTGGTCTAAATATATACTAGGAATAAAATTACACTACTAAATAATTATGCTAAATGTTTTTCAAAAAGTAGTTCAGATTGCTTGATGCACTTTAATCTTTTATTATTTATGGCAATAAGATATTAAGATATAGACTATGAAGTATGTACTCCCTCCATTTGTTTTTGTAACATACGATTAAATATATATAATTATTAGTTAATTAAAATAATATTTTATTTAAAAACAAACAAACAAACCCACCGCACCTTTTTTATGATCCATGGAAAAAAGGAGGGGGTTATTAATGAAGGGGAAAAAAAGGAGAGGGGTGGTTGAAGAAGAGAATAGGATGAGATATAAGCAGAAGAAAATCAGGGAAGGGAATTAAATATGAGAATATTAAATATCTGCAATATTTGTCTTCTTTTCATTTTGGGTGAGAGAAGTAGAGAAAAAAAGAGCGAGCGAGCTGAGTTGCAGAGTACATGACAGGTTTTAAGGATTATTTAGGTACACAAATATATTTTTTTATCAAATTTTTTTCATGAATATTCTTATATATTTAGAGTTTCATATTGATTGTATTATCATACTGTTTAGAGAAAATTTTGTAGTTTGAATATAGAGTAAGTAGTGAGTTTTGACAATATATAATTGTAGAAATTTAAAGATATTTATAATAGATACAATTTGTTATTTAAATAATGTATTATTGAGGTTTTAATCAGTTTAAATAAGTTAAAGATATATTATTGAAATAATTTTTTAGGCTTAAAAAATTGTAAATTGAGAATTTTAATATAAAATAATTTAGATTTTGGGTAATAAATACATATTTATTTAAGTTATTAATTTTAAATATTGTTTTATATGAAAAAAATGTTTATTTCCAAACAACATTGTATCTATTATAAATATCTAGATCCGGGAGAGTTAATATATTTTTGTAATTTTTTAGAGGGTAGCCTTAGAATTTTAGAATAAAGTTAGAATAATTTTGTTATATATTAATAAATATTTATGTGTAATTTTGTAAATTCTTGAGAATTTTAGAATAATTATTGTGTGATTATTTGTAAGTTAAAGAGTAACAGGTAACTCTAAAAATTCTTTCATGTATATGTGAATTGTGTATAATTATGTTGTGAATTTATTAGTTTTTATTATATCATACTGAAATATATGTATATATTATGAGTTTTCAAATAAATGTTTTAATATATTACTTTATTTTGTTAAGATTTATTGTTATTAATTATGATCAATATCTAAATATATTGATAGTTATTAATACAGAAATTTTACTGTTATCTTATTTTTAATAATATATCTAAAGACGTACTTCTGATGTGACATTATTTGTATATGACATATATATTGTTGGACTAAAGATAGAAGGAGATCTGAATGGATATAAAATTATCACATGATGTGCCATCAATCGATGCACAGTGGATAGTACTTGTCAAGACCCCTTCTATGTTTTTCTTTGACTGGGAATTTATTAGAATTGTGGGACATGTGACGCCTCCTTATTTTTGTTTGCTAAGGAGGGGAGCCATAGTCTGAACTTGAACTCTATATCTTTGACTAGAGATATCTCTAATTTTGGTGAGCTTGAAATAATCCAGTAAAATGGATTAGTTTCTCTTGGACCATGTATTAGCCCATGACTCCAGTCATCAATATAAAGATAATCGGTAATATAAGGGAAGTTGCATATTGCATTATTTTTTGATATGTTGAAAAATGATATTGGTATATTGTTGAATTGAACGTAAAATTGAGTTGAATGTAAAAATCCGTTATTTTCATACACAAATATATATAATCAGATTTTTGTTTGTCATATATGGTTTACTTGTATAGGTTAGAATTTTAGTAGTTACTGAGAAGTTAGATCTCATCTTTTATATTAACAATTTTTAGGTAAAGGATTTAGAAGGAATCAAGGGAAGGCACTAATAGAGTGAGCTTAGAAGGCTTCTATACTCCATACTATGTTATATTTTTATTTGCCATGACTATCTTTAATGGTTTATTTTGTTAAGTTTTTTCAGAAAAATATTTGAAATTAGGACTTCTTTTGAATGCTAGAAATACATATAAACTTTTACATGAAGTATTTTATCATGTATATGAACATAATTATGTGAGATATTACAGCTTTTATATGAAACGACCATCACATATGACTTGTTTTCTATTTATAAGAAATATCAAGAAGTTGTTTCAAATTTCTTTTTTGTTCACTTTCTATTTTGTCCTTAGTTAATTACTTATTTTAATGTGTGTACATTTAATATCATATGAAATATTCTTTCTACCACACATTTTCTCTCTTTCACCATCCTCTTTATTTTAATTATTTTTTTTTATTCTTTTCCTTATACTCCTCTTACAATTAAGGATATTTTTTAGACAAAAAAGTTACAATTTTACATATTTGTTGTCTCTAATATAAAAAAAAAAATGAATGGAGCATTAAATAGAAAGGAAGTTGGAAAGTCATTATATTGTAAAAAAGTTAATAACATTTAAAGTTTTTTTATCTTATAAAACTGTGTTGGAGGTATCTCATGAATAGAACTCAGAGCAGGTTTCATGTACAATACAAAGTCTTCCCAAGCACAGCTTAGACTCAAACCAAGCTTGAGCCAATCTATGTTTACTCTACAAGGAAAGATTACAAAGTCAAAAGTTGACAAATTTCTTATCCTTTAAGCTTTCAACAGTCTCCATGAGGCTCACTTCCAATGGAATAAAATCAATTCCCAAAGTTTTTGCCTTTTCCTTAGAAACCTGATATTTAGGCTCAAGTCCCCTCTGGTCTGCACACCTATTAAATATAAATAAATGCATATTAAGAGTGAGAACAGGTGACTTGGTTTATCAAAATGGTTTTTGAAGATTATGATCATAATCTGTCATCATTAAGCCACAGGAATATAGGAAATTTAAAGAACTCTTCTATAGAACATGTGTTTCATTAACTCTTCTATAGTTTCAATTTCTTTTTTCTTTTGAAAAATATGGATGGATTGATACAAAATCCATCACAAGGGTAATCACCCATACATCCTATCTTCTTCCAAGCTCCAACATTTACAGTTTAATTTGATAATATATTGCAAGAGACAACAGATAACTATTAAAGTAGAAAAATGGTCAATAATTTTATTTTTAGTATGTTAAAAAAGTTTCAATAATGTTGCAATAAGGTTAGAGAGGAATATATAATTAGGTAAGCATTTTCAAACTTATAGATATAATCAAACTTACTTTTCAGGAAGTTCCAACAAGGGGTATAGTTCACTCAAAATCTTTACAATATCATAGAAGTGTGCTACCCTTTCAACCAAAACATATCTTCCATTAGCTGAACAAGTTTCAAATGCTTGAATATGGGCATTTGCAACATCTTTCACGTTGACCCATCCAAAACTATTATTTGGAAATGTTTGTGCACCTGCATTAAACAAGGATAAAACTACTTTCTTTGGTCCCTTTCATAAGAGACGAATAATTAATTCTCAAGAATAAAAAAATGCAGTTAAAGTAAGTTGAATTATTAAATATGTTAAAAACTCAAGTAACTTGTGTAGTTTTGTCATATTTTTCTTTGAATAACTCTGTTTTATTGGATCATAGGATGTTTTATACATAAATGTTTTATTTACTCATGAATTAATGTATTTTTATTTACATATTGTACGATTTTCAGGGTTATTTATGAATACTTTTATATATGTTTTGATTAAATTATATTATTTCGATCATGACTAATTTGAATCTCATCTGAACTACGAACTCTTAGACCACTATTTCAACCGGTTAAATAACTAGTTATCAAATTTCCACTAACCACAGCTATGAAAATATTTTTGCTGAAGATGATCGATTAACTCAAACGATCTTTGAATACTAAAAGAAAAAAAGGTTATTGTTTATTACCATTTATCAGATTTAAAATTACAGCAGCACTAGCGTTAAGCGTTGGTTGCAAGAGTGGTCCAATTGTTGTAGCTGGATTGATCGTAACCATGTCAATTTTGTTCTCCCTCACAAATTTCCAGGCAGCATCTTCAGCCAAAATCTTGGAAACTCTGTACCAAAGCTGAAAGCACCAAATTCGAAACAACAAAGGAAACCTGGAAATTCATGTTTGGAATCACACTAGCAGAAGCCAAAAACATGGTTTTGACATCACCACCCAAACATGATGATTCCAAACACGCTTGAAGATGCTGTAAATTGCTATGCATCACAAATAATCGCATTTGCATATATCCATTGGAACAAGTATGGGATTTCAAAATCAAAACAAACTCACTCTTAATCAAAACATAGGACATGACAGCAGGCAAAATACACAAGGGTCTGACTGAGAATTTTGGCAAGGTCTGATATTGTTTCAGGAAGAGGGAGCCGCTTATGGATTTACCAGCATTGATAGCCAAGTTGCAATATTGTTGAGCGAGTGTCATGTAATGTTTTTCTTTTGCATTATAAGACAGGCAGTAAAGTCCTAAGGTTATAAACAGGATTGAATCCGAGACCTCCTACTTGTATATAGACACAAGGAGAGCTTATATGCGACTAGACTAGGCTATGTACAAAACCATTGACATCGTCATGCAGTATTGATGGAGGCCATAACTGCCATTTTGTTGAAGAAATTTTTTTTGGGGGGGGGGGGGGACAATTCTCATGAACAGCATCATCTGACTTTGGCAGTCTCGAAGTTCTAGGCTATTGACTAATCTGATGTCTATATCACATCTTTATTAACACCATGATGTCACCTGAGCAAGGCCCTCATACCTTAATGTTGGATGACGTCTGGGCAAATCAAACATTACTCATTTCTGCATTAGTAATTTAAGCACAATAAAATAAAGAGCATACCTTAGATTCCCTACTTAAATCAAGATCTGATAACCATGTCTCATCAACAACAACATGAGGAGTTCTAGGCTTTCTATTATAGGCAACCGTAGCAATGGAGGAAGTTAAAACGACACGTTTCACTGATGAAAATTTAGCACAAGACTTGAGAACATTGAGAGTCCCTTTGACCGCTGGATCGATTAGTTCATCCTGCAACGAGGAGTGTAACAGTCACGAGCTAAAAATTATGGTATTATGAGTCTCACATTAGAAAGACTCCCAAGTGTAGTGAGATTAATAAGTTCCATTCAATACATTAGTTTTTTGATATTGAGCTCTCTCTTTAGATCTGTGCTTATAACATAAGGAGCCTGACTTCAAATATGAAGCTATCAACAAAGGCAGAATGGGAAGAACCTGTGGATCTTTGATATCATTAATAATAAAGGGAGAAGCAGTATGAAAGACACCCACACATCCCTCAATAACAGGATCAAAGGAACCTTCATCCATCAAATCTGCTTTCATCAGCTGCAATCTCTCCTTGGCGCCATCAAGTTTCAGCAAGTGGTCTATCTTTTTTGGATCATCTGCAGGCAGTCACAAAAAGCCAAATTAAGCTGTCACAATCAGAAGTATATTTTTTTGTTGAGAGACAAGGATATGGCCAGAATTTTCACTAAGGAACCACAATGTCCAAAGTCAAAAGCAATATCAGAGCCATAGATGATATATACCAGTCATAGTCTATTTATTTAATTATCTATTGGTTGTTTGGTGACGATAATATGCTTCAGTTTCACTTTTTTAATTGCCATTTAAAGGCGTGGAAAGATATTTCAGCTTATAAATAAGCTTACGAGCTAGCTAGCTGGGACATAAAGCTCTCCCATAGGTTCATATCCTCATCTCTCCATAAATACCTTGTAGGATCCATTATATCCAATCTTCAATAACCATATCTAGATTTTAAAATAAAGCAGAGTCATTAGACGAGAAACAAGTACTAATAAATTTTCAATAAGTTATATTATTGATCCTTATTCTTTTTTTCCTGGAAAAACAGTTAAGATACAAGTTGGCCTGAACCCAACCCAATAAGCCAACCCGAATGAGTCCTATAACTCCTAGAGTTGTGCTTGGCAACTCAACAATCCAAATATACATACGCGCCTGTGTAAACACACACACACACACACTGAAAGGAGGAGAAACTCACTTGAATTACGTACAGTGCCTCTGACAGAGTAGCCACGGAGAAGAAGGTGCTTGACGAGCCATGAAGCAATAAAGCCAGAAGCACCAGTTACACACACCGCCATCCCTTTTCCTGCGTCGTTGCTTTTTTGTGGCTTAATTTTCGATTAAATTGGACGAAAAAAGGAATTGAAGCTGTTCAATTATAATCAGTTAGTTCCACAGTCACTTTTCCAGCATTTAGTTTGTCGTTTTGCAATTATCGTAAGATTCAATGGTTCTACGTGTAACCAAGGCCTCCATTCATTCAATTAACATTATCATCATCGTTTGGACGATAATGATTTTAACCATAGCAATGACAGACACAAAGTTCTTTTGAAACAGCCCAATTCAATGCAAGCTTTTGTGTCCTTTTCAATGCCTTCTCAAGCAGCATTTAACTTAATTACAAAGGACATTAGAAGGACATTAGAGTGACTACTTCCGAAGAAGATACATAGTAACCCAGAGCATGCTTGAGCTTTAATCAACATTTACAGTTCATAGAGAGGTCACAAAAGTTAAAAGTTGACAAATTTCTTCTCCTTCAAGCTTTCCACTGTCTCCTTGATCCCTGAGGGTCACCTCGAATGGGTTAAATTCAATTCCCAATGCTTTTGCTTTTTCATTGGAAACTTGAAATTTTGGCATGAATGGCTTATCGTCCGCACATCTATCAAGTGTAATGAGAAGCCAAGAAATGATTAGTGAAAAATCATCAAAAGCTTTCAATCTTTATTCTTCCTTTCAATCCAAACATACCCATCATTTCAAGTTGCAGGCATACATAATGAACAAATACAGGAAACACAGTTGAACCCTTCACTGGGAAAGCTAAAGAGAAGGACTCAAGTGAAATACAAATGAAGCCTTGTGTAGAAAATTAAACCAAGCTCTGACGCCACATGGATATTAGGGAACATGCACACAACAGTAAAACAGGTGAAGATCTTTGGTTTGTGATAGATTCTGGGGGTTCTGGTATTTAACAAATTCCAAAAAATGACTGAACAAAAGCTTGCTTTCTAGGTTCTGTCGCACCATAAAGACCTTCCGTGGTAAATAAAGTAGAAACAGCTATTAAAGAAAATAAAATACAGACAATTTAAGTATTGACATTCCAGAAAAGAGAAAAAGTTACAAACATATTTGATAAGGATATATAACTGAAATATATATCATATGAAATCTTAAAATTGTAGAAATAATTGAACTTACTTTCAGGAAGCTGCAATGTTGGATACAGCTCACGTAAAATCTTCACAGCATCTGAGAAGTGTGCCGCTCTCCCAACCAAACAATATCTTCCACTGGCTGAAGGGGTTTCAAACGCTTTAAATTGTGCATTTGCAACATCTTTCACATTGACCCATCCAAAACAATTATTTGGAAATGTCTGTGCGCCTGTATCAATAGGCAAGGATGGAAAGAGTCCCTAAAAGGTTTGACACAAAAATTCTTGTCTCAGGCTAAAAACGATATACTTAATACGCATGTAGGCAGCTAATACTTCCTGAAATAACAACAAAAATTGAATCAACAGCTTAAGTCCTCAATAAATAAATCAATATAAAATACAAATAGTATACATCCGGCTGCACATGCATGAATCCCCACCTTAGTTTTGACAAGGAAAAATATTTTAGGGATATAATTTGGTTCATCTAAAGATAAAACCATCGTTCAAGACCAGAATTTTAAGTCCTTACGTCAAACATATGCTTAGAGATGCGGTCACCATCCCATTTCCTATAAGATGAGAGTGTGTGACAATATTAAAGCATAAAGATAAAAAGGAAAATTATTCTGATCTGGAAGAATGGTCAGCATTACAATTCCAATGCACACTAAGTCAAGTTTAACTTGTTTAGATTGTTATAACCTTCCATTACCTTTTCCTACTCTCCATCTTTTGAAACTAGTCCCCATTCTTTTTCTGTTGACCAGAGCCATAAAATCATTTTGCCGAAGATGCACAGGTAACTCAAATGATTTGTGAGTAAAAGGGGTTACCGTTTATTAGATTCAAAATTGCAGCAGCACTTGTGTTGAGAATTGGTTGCAAGAGAGGTCCAATCTCACCATCGCAGGATTCATTGCAACCAAGTCAATGTTATTATTTTTGCAAATTTCAAGGCAGCTTCTTCGGCCAAAATCTTGGAAACTCTGTACCACACCTGAAAGTTAAAAATTGGAAACAGCAAGCAACTTGAAGAAAGTTTGAATTCATATGCATTACAAGTAATCACATTTTCACCCACTGGAACAACTTTGGGATTCAAAACTTAAACGAAAGTGACTTTAGTCCAAATAGAGGACACCAAGACAAGCAAAATACGCTCTAATGAAAAATAGAAAAAATACACAGAGGTCCGTGTGTTGTTAAGATGAAAGTAATGAAATAAAAAGAAGACACAAGTGATGTGAGTCATCTGACGGAGGATTTGGGCAAGGTCTGAGATGATTTCAGGGAGGAAGAGTCTTTGTGGATTTCCCAGCACTACTGAAGTTTTCTTTGTGGATATGACTGACATGGGGTTTTCTTTCTATTTACTAATTTCACCGTATTATGGAGTGTTGTGCAGTATTGAAGGAGCGACAAAGCATTGACAATATGATCTTATTCTTAACTCAGGAGATTATCCACACCACAAGAAGATTAAAGAAAAAGCGCTATCAAAATGGACCTGAAAAAGGCCTATGATTGGGCCCGATGGGACTTCATTATCCAATGTCTAAGGGAACAGAGCATTCCTGAATATATCTCCATCATCAGGACTATTCAGAGTCATTCCTTGGCTTGGACAGACATAGTCCATGTCGCTATTCCTGGATCCAGGGGAGAATACGTTCGATGGAATAATTTCTTAGGTGTATTGCCACACTCCCAAGGTTTCATACCCCAGATGCCATTACCCTGCATCGGAGCAACAGGAAATGAATCTACTCCCTCCAGGGGTGTGAGACAGGGAGACCCGCTTGCACCATATTTCTCTGTTAGGTTGAGAGGCTTGGACATCTGATACAAAGTGCACATCTTAAAAATTTTATGAAATGGTACATATGATGGGCAAAGTATTTTTGGGATGATAATACCTATTTAATGTAAATACCTGACTTAACTAATTTTTTTAATCTATTTAAATTAATTAACTAGTTCTTGTGTTAAGTACCGGAGCTAGTAGTGTTTCTCAAGAAATGTGGATCACAGTACTGGAGCAGTGGAGCTAGAAGTGTTTCTCAAGAAATGTGGATCGCACCCGGAGTCGATAAATCAGCGAATTTTTCTAAATTTCGGCTCGCCAATTCTTCATGAGAGAGTATCCATGGCAACGGACCCCATGGTGCAACTCCGACAGAGAAGGAATTAGTTAACGTCGCTAATAATGTAGATGTCAGTAGCTAGTCCTCGTTGATGCCTTTGCTAAATTTTTTTTTTAAAAAAAAAAGACAAAGAAAGAAAAGAGGACACTACTTGAAGAAATATTTTCCGCCTCAATTTGCTCATGCTGGTATTAAAAGAAAGGTGGATATGAATCTCCAAATCTCTCTAATTTTTTTTTAATCAAATCCTTATAATTTCACATAACTGTAAACAGGTCCTTATATTTTCTTTTTTATTAATATTTTTATAATTTCATCTGATTTTTAATCAAATCCCTTTTGATTTAGGTGGTTGATTAAAAAAAAAAGGGAAAAAAAAGCACAGGAACTTGGTTTAAAGTCATGTAAAGCTAAAACCTGATAAAAAGATAAAAAATATATATAGGAATCTGATTAAAAATTAAATGAAATTAGAAGGACCTAATTAAAAAAATACAGGGACATGATTAAAATCAGGTAAACCTGTAAAAACATTAGATTAATTTTACCTAAAAATGCCAACATTCAAAATACTGATTTATAACCAGCACGCAGACAAACCAAAGGTCTTTCAAAATAGCTCCTACCTAACACAAGCATTGTACCCCTCTCAGTGTCCTATAAAGCACCGTTTATTGTATTACAAAAGATCAGAGTTTTTCAAATCCACAGATACAACTCAAAGCACGCTTGAGCTAACCAACCAACATTTACTCTTAAAATAGGGATTACAAAATTAAAAGTTGACAAATTTCTTCTCCTTCAAGCTTTCCACAGTCTCCTTGAGACTCACTTCCAACGGAACAAATTCAATTCCCAGTGTTTTAGCCTTTTCTTTAGAAACCTGGTATGTCGGCACGAACGGCTTATCATCCGCACACCTATCAAGTGCAATGAGATTAGCAAAAATCAGAATCAATGTGTATGAAGTGAGAATACGGGCCATTTGGTTTATAGAATAGAATATGGTTTTGAAGGAATATGATCAAACTCTTGCGATCAAATGAGAGGAACACAATATCAGGAAAGTTAAAGAATTCTCCTATTGCTCTGAGTTAGATGTGTTTGGGAATCAAACATTTCCTTTTAGATTTCTTTCAATTGAAAGTATGGATTCATGAAAAATACATCACAAATGTTGGAAGATGCAAAGATCCAAAAGTAGCCTATGAGAACTCCTTGCTAAAAGATTTGATTGACAGTCACGGTCGAGTCTTTAATTTATATTTAAATTGAAGCTTTCCATCCCTTTTCCTCCCCCGGATCCAAAAATATTCATTCATTTCAAGTTGTAAATACTAATCATTTCAGGTCTTTAATTACCACCAATTCAAACACACCATTCGCTTCAAGACCCAAAAATACACAATGATCAAAATACTGGAAACACAAAGCTAAATTTACATCAAGCTCTAAGACGACACAGATATTCCACAGCAGTTAATTGCTGATTTTTAGGTCATGATAGATTCTAGATTTCCAGTATTAAATTTAACATTAGGCATTTATGAAAACCTGAAAAAATGACGGGACAAAAAACTTCCTTTGTAGATCATGTTGTACCATAAAAAACTTCAGTGCCAAAAAAAGTAGAAAGCATTGCTTTCTTCATTATTTTTTTTCCTTAAAATAGAAAGTTGAAACATGTCACTTACTGGAATGTGTCCTATGTTTCACGCATTAAAGAAATTTCCGCATAAAAAGGTTACATCACGTCCAGAATTCAAGTGCTTCTTATATCTTCTAACCAATTTTATCACAATTGATAACCTATACGTTGTATAACACTCCAGACCACATTAATCATTAATCAGTATTAACCTGGGACAGATAAAGATAAACGGTAGGTAGATGGTGGTAACTCATGCAAGGATTTACACAAGTAAATTTAGGGCCAGTTTGTTTAAAATTAAAGAAAAAAAGTGATTGTAGTTAAGTTTGACACTTGAGTTGTTGGGAGAAGTTAAGCTAATCATGAAGGTTTGTTAGGGGAAAAAAATCAATTTTAGCTTTCCTTTTTACAAGCTATTCTGAATAGCTTATCAAAATATGCTATTTCCAACAGATCCCTCATGTGTTTAGGTTAAATTCTCCCAAAAACTCCCTTATACTTCCAACAACTTTCTCATTTTTAGCCTAATTAAAATCACTTTTTTCCAATCTTAAACAAATTGGCCCTTATTCAGGTTAATATAAAAAAGTTTGATGCTTTCACTGCAAAACATGGTAGATTAGACAGCCATTGATTAATGTGATAATAAACCGCAACAAAGTAGAGACAGTCATTGAGAAAGAAAAATGAAAAAGGTAATTTATGCTTCAACATTTTAGAAAAGATAAAGATTCGCAAACAGATTAGAGAACGGCATATAACTAAACTATACACTATAATCCAGTCTTAAACTTGTAAAAATAATTGAACTTACTTTTCAGGAAGTTGCAATGTGGGGTACAGCTCACGTAAAATCTTCACAACCTCTGAGTAGTGGGCCACTCTCTCAACCAAACAATATCTTCCGCTAGCAGAAGGAATTTCGAATGCTTGAATATGGGCATTTGCAACATCTTTCACATTGATCCATCCAAAAGTCATATTTAGAAATGTCTGTGCACCTGCATAAATCAAGGATGGAAAGAGTCCCTAAAAGGTGGAATGCAAAACTCATGTCTGGGGCCAAACATAGAGTATATATAACACATAAAAGTCATCAAATATTTTTCAAAGTAACAACAAAAATTAAATCACAAACAAGTCAGACTATTGGATCCTTAATAAAGAATTTTGAAGGAAAATAAATTTAGATTATGATTTTGTTCCTCTGAAAGATAAAACCATTGTTCTCAACCAGCAACTGAGGTCCATGTGTCTAACACGTCCTAAGTGACAAAGTCTACTTTACATTTTGTATAGAAAAGAATTATGTCACTGATTTTTGTGCCAATTCCACTCCATGGGTTCCATTTTCCTTTTAATGCAGAATTTAAGTCAATGAGGATAAAGAGTATCTAACATTATAAAAGTTTAAAGCTACAAAAGGAAAAGCAAATGTTTTCATCTAGCATAATGCTAAGCATTATAATTCCAATGCACATTAAAACAAGTTTAAGCTACTGATTAAAATATTACAACTTTCACACTTTGTTCTGCACTTACTATCTTGTGACACTGATGCTGGTTCTTTTTTCATTTACTAAAGCCCTGAAAAACAATCGAGTTGGAGTTGACCATGTAACTCAGATGCTTCATGAATAGAAAAAGAAAGTACCATTTATTATATTCAAAACTGCAGCAGCACTAGTGTTAAGAGTTGGTTGCAAGAGAGGTCCTATCACCATTGCTGGATTGATGGTAACCATGTCAATGTTGTTCTCCTTTACAAATTTCCAAGCAGCATCTTCAGCCAAAGTCTTTGAAACTATGTACCACAGCTGAGAGCACAAAATTGGAAAAAGAAAGAAACTTGAGGACATTGTAAATTAGTATGCCTGCCAAATAATCACATTTGCAGCCACTGGATCACTGGTTGATATCAAAATCAAAACTAAGAGACTTTAGTCGAAATAGAGGACTAAAAAACAAGCAAAATACACTCTCGTTCCCTCAGAAGCTGAAAAAAATGGGGGAAACAAGGAGGGAAGGGGGGGGGGGGAGAGAGATGTCTGTGGGTGGTTGATAGGAAAATAATGACAGAAAAGATGAAATTGATCTGACTGAGGATTTGGGCAAGGTCTGGGATTGTTTCACTGAGGAGGAGCCTTCATAAATTTCCCTGCATTCATAGCGCATGGTACAATATTGAACGAGTGTTATGGAGATTTTTCTTTTTATTTACTAATTCCCCGCATTGACTCCAAGATAGTGCCAGAGTAGACCCATTCCACCTTAATGGCAGATAGGCTCTGCACCTTCATGCCATTCACCATGGTGGCCACTATTGACAATGCTAAAGCATACATTATATCATGCGATTCCGATTTTCCCATTAGATAGATAATTGCTATCTCAACCCTATACAGCATTCACTATCAGAAATTTTAACAAGCATGGATTATACAGATAACTTCCGCATTAGTAATTTAGTACAATGGAATATAGTGGATACCTTAGCTTCCCTACAAAAGTCTGGATCTGAAAACCATGTCTCATCGACAACAACTTCAGGAGTTCTTGGCTTTCCGTTATATGCAACTGCAGCCACGGAAGAAGTTAAAACAACTCTTTTCACAGATGGAAATTTAGCACATGACTTCAGAACATTGAGAGTTCCCTTCACTGCCGGATCAAGCAGTTCAGCCTGAAATGATAAAGATAACAGTCATGAGCTAGAAAATAAGGCCAAAAAAGACTGGTAGCTTCTGTGCTTGACTGATAAATTCTAGAAAATGTCAAACGCGTAATCAAAAAACATCAACATAGTTTACCACTTTCCTTAGCCAAGAATCATGATTAAGATTCCAGACAGCAATTTATTAATGAAACCAGCCACTAGTCCATTTCAAAATGAGAGACCTACTCGTTTCTTTGATCTAAAATACATAGTTCCATTCGAAGAGGGTAAGGGCAGAAAGTGCAGTTGTGTTTCTCTTCAATTTTATGGCATTTCAACATTATAATTATACGTCATGAATAGAACTTGCCTAAGGCATGGCATTCTATTCATTTTAATATAAATTGCTTAGAGTTCCCCTTACTCAAGATTGCCTAATTTCAAGTTCAAGGGTACACAATGAATTCATTTCATTTAACTACATCGACAAGATCATACTATTAGTTGCCAAGGGAAAAATTTTGGCAAATGTCAACATGACAATTTATCAGTGTTCAGAAATTAACTGCCTGATTATTGGAGGAAATGAAATACTATGTTCTGGTCCTCTTATTATAACGCCTTCAGGTTCCTAGGTAAGAATAACTTTTTGATTGCTCATTTGGAACTGCGATGAGGAAGACCTCATCTTAATGGCTCTCCCACTCCGCTCCCTCTCACCTTCCTAGATATTTAAAACCCTGTTCACGCAGATTCAGTAAAAACAGAATGCTTTGCAATAGATAGACCACATTCAAATATCCGTCAACAAAATGAAGGATGCGATGAACCTGTGGATCTTTGACATCATGATAAAAGGGAGACGCAGTATGAAAGACCCCCTCACACCCCTCAACAACAGGGTCAAAGGAACCTTCATCCAGGAGATTTGCTTTAACCAAGTGCAATCTCTCCTTCGCACCATCAAGTTTGACCAAGTGTTCTACCTTTTTGGGATCATCTGCAGGGAGTTACAAACCAAAATAAAATTGTCATTCAAAATCCTAATAATTAGCATTATAAGAAAGAACAAGAAAAATTGACGCAATTCAACGACACTGAAACTTGGAAAGCATAATGCAAAATGGAATCTTTGGGGAACCCATGTAAAATAAATCTTTATCCTTATGAGCATAACCTAATCCTTGCTAGCTAATTGCACATATATTCATTTTCACTATCAAAGGAATATGTTTCGTGAAGATAAGGATACGGCCACAAATTTACTACAAATACTAGCAAAAGTACAAAGCAAAAGGAAATATCAGAGCCATGAATCCCCTTCACAGGACCATGTTTATTCATTTCTGGGTAATTTAGTGATGATATGCTTGGGTGGAGGCCATTTTATCTTTTATGAACCATCGCAAGGCCTGAAACTAGAGTCCAACGACGGGAAGATGAGATAAGAGCTCGCAGGGACATAGCTCTCGCAGAGGTTCGTATCAGAAGGATCAATCTTCAATTTTCAATTACCATATAAACTCCCCCTCCCACAAAACCACAAATAAAAGATATGGAAACGGATATCTAAGCAATGCTAAATCCCAACCAAAAGTAGTGACAGAACACAGCAAGGAAAGTGAATTCCGGAGAATTCATAGAGATAAAAGCAACAAAATAAAAAGCGATCACTCACTAGGGTCGCGCACAGTGGCCTTGACAGTGTAACCACGATTGAGAAGGAACTTGACGAGCCATGAAGCAATATAACCAGAAGCACCAGTGACACACACGAGCTTCCCTGCGTTGTTGCTCATTTTCTGTCTTCCTCCTTGGTTGCCCTGCTGCTGCCTGCCTATTTATGGGAGTGAGGCAGAACTGGAGGAGCCTTACGTATATATAGCATGTGCCTACCGCCACGTCACTGTCAGCGTCAAAACGAATCCAATAAAATATTCACAATTGTTGATAATAAACAATTCTTAACCCATCCTTTTTAAGGACTACCCTCTTCCTTACCAGTAATTTTAGTGTTTAAAATTTTATTTTATTTTGATTTCCGTTCATAAAATTTTAAACTAATAATTTTTATTTTTAAAACATAACTTTATTTTAATTTTGATACTTGAAAGACACTGTTCTAAAAACTAAAAATTTTTTAAACGTACTAAAACAAAATCGAATTTCAATGATAAAAACTTTTAGTTTCAAATTTTATTAAATTTTAAATACCAAAATCATTAATTTTAAATTTTAGACAACACAACCATAAGAAGTCGTATCTTTTAGGATGTAAAAATTATGTTAACCTTAAGTTATATGTTGAAAATATCCAAGTATTTAATGTATTTTTTTATATGTTTACTGTAAAAATAAGGCTTTTTTTAACATATTTATTTTTTTAATTAACTTTTTATCTACATAAATTGGTAATTTGTATCGTATAGAAAGAAAATGAGGTGACGCTTTCAAATTTTAAACATTTGCAAAATATACTTATAATCAGGTTGCTATGAGAGAAATGGAGAGAATGAGAAGGGAGGAAAAATTTTAATAAGATTGTTTTAAAAAATTTTAAAAATGGGGTTAAAATTTTTTGATTAATTTTAGTTACTCTTTTGTTTTACATTTTCTTTTAATCAAAATTTTATAACCTTATTTTTTCAATTTTTTAAAATGAGCTTATTAAAATTTTTCTTCTCTTCTGTCTTCGTCTATTTTCCTCATACCAAACAAACCTTTTAATAGTAAGATAATAAATTTAATTTTTATAATAATAATTATTACCAAAAAAATGTTATGGCTAACTGTGTTATAATTTGATGATTTAAAACAAACTTTGTAAAATTAAAGAATTAACTTGAAATTTTAGAAAATAAATTAAATTACAAAAAAATCACTTTTATTTCATTTAAATGATAAAATTTATTTTTTACAATTTTTATTTGATATAGGTGTTCTTTGAGCCTTGGGATGTGCATTAGTTCTGGATATTTAACTCACCTGAATATTTTATCTGTTCAAAAAAAATTGAAAATTTAAGGCAGGATTATGGTAATTGATGAAGGTGAGGGAATACTTCTTTTTTTTTTGGTTTGAACTTAAAATTCTAATCTACCTGATATATGAAAATTTTTTAATGATGCAGTCATAAACATTGTAATTAACTTTAGTGACGTTGGCCAAAAAAAATAACTTTATTGACTAAAGTTTGATAACAATTTTTTAAAGATTATTATTATTTAATTAATTGCAACTACTATAGTTTAAAATTTCACAATTTTACTCATAAGTCGTACTCTTATTTAGAAAATTTATAGAGATTAATTTTTTTTCTCAACAAAACTATGAAATTTTAGGAAACGAAAATTGGGACAATTTAATTTATTCGTAGAATTTGTTTTTTTTGGGGGGGGTGTGGGGAGAACTTTTGAATAGAGAATCTTTCATCATTGGAATTGTTTTCCAGTAGATTTAAACCACCTAGATTAGATTTGAAATTTTTTTATTATCGATTAAAATTTATTGCCATCCTATATTTTTCTTTATTGAAAATAAAAGCATAAATTCTTCATTATTTAAATCAAGTTTATTTAAAACAAAAGCACAATAGAAAATAGTTGAGGTCAAAAAAACTTTAAAAGGTAAAAAAAAGACAAAAGCAGTTCGATTTTGATATTGGGTCGACAAATTGGGCTTTGCTTCCTCCTCTCATTTCTTTACTTTTTTTAAAAAAATAAATTTACAGAACAACTGACGAATTCATTTCGTGTGCTCTTACGATCGCCACATAAATGTGCGTAGCTATGTCAGCTTTTACCAAATGATGACTTCATTACGTGGGCGAGTTCGTATTTTAAAAAAAATACAGAGGAATGAAAAAATAGTTATCAATATTTTTCCTTTTCTTTTTTAAATATAAGCATTGGCATTGCACAATCCTGTTTAAGACAATGTGAGGCACTAAATACAGAAACCTCTTCCAACAAAATTTCAAACCTTGGTCAATTCTTGATGAGTACTGGATAATTTTAGAAGGGATATAATTATATAAACAAAAAAATTAAATAGTTGAAATTTAAAGAATTGAGTTGAGAAATTGTAAATAAGTTAAAATAATAATGACTAAATGGTTAAATTTTTCTTATTTAGTATTAGTATCAAATTAGTATAAAATGCAGTATTAATATACAAATTTGTTTAGGAAGTTTTCAATTTTTTAGGCACCCGAAAATTTTCTTGAGTGTAAATTTGTTATAAAATTTTAAAATCATAATAATATGATCTTTTATTATTAAAAATATTAATGATTAATATTAATATTTCAATAGTCAGTATTAATTTTTTAATAATAGGATAACATTACTATAATTTATTTGGTTAGGTTTGTAACATGTCAAGTCTATTAAGAGACCCATTGAAATATACAAACATGTAATGAATGGCCCAAAGATTAATGGACCAAAAGGTTTGAAAAGTGGGCTCGCGTTGGCACTTACTAGGAACAATGGATTAGGGTGTAGTACTTATTTTGTGGAATCGTCTTGTCCTCTTGGCTTTTCTTGAAGGATTATGTTCTAATCCTACTTCTCATTCTTCACTTTCTTTAGTTATTGTTTGTCCTTTCTTTTTGAGTTGTTATACTCTTTAATTGATATGTCAAAGTAATATACTCATTCAATCCTAAATATAAGACCAATTTAGTACTATTTTTTCGTACTTTCTTCTTTTTACCACTCGATAGGTCAACAAAGCATGAGCAGACTACAATACAAAATGGGTTTTATATATAGCATCGGAGTAGTATTAACTTGTGTTCATCATAAGATTTATGACTCCATGCAATGGAATTTTATTCCCTTGTGCCTGCATTTGCAAATGTTAGTGGCTATGACATCAAAACATATCGATAGCTATATATATATATATATATATATATATATATAACACTTAATGGTAATGAATTTATTGATTCACACTATTAACAATTTTGTAAATGAAAGTGGTTGTGATATAGAGGGTAGAAGATTATGTTACTAGTATAGCAGAGGAACTAAGAGAGAAAATGTTGAATTTTGTATTTGTGCAATTGTTGAAACTGATGAAAATTTTGTGGGAGCTCTTAGGTATTTTAAAATGTAATAAATAAGACTGATTTGGAATTTTAAAATTTAAAGATATTTTTTTGGGATTCTTCCTAAATAAAGCTGACTAATATACTCATATTAAAAGACCTGAATCATCTATTCCTGATTGAGCAGTTAAATGGAAAAGGAAAATTTGAAAAAAAAAATCCTCCATTAAAAATTTTATTAAGAGAAAAATTTAGTCGTGTTTTGTATATACAAAAGTTTCAGAGCAACATCAAATTTCTTATATCCATTGTGTTAAATTTTCTAATCGACCATTTGTTCTATTTTTAAAATATCAACATTTAATGACATTAAATTATAAATTCATAAGGAAAAAAAAAAAAGGCACATGGCTATGTATGATTGGAGAACTTGAAATAATGGATATAAGAAACTTTTTTTTGGTCAAAAGACATAAGAAACTTGACCTAAATTTTTTCTAAATTTATTATTTGTAACAAATTTTTGCAATTATAAAGTGCTTTCCAAGCCAAATTCTTATTGAGTCAAAACTAGTAAGATTATCTAAATCAATTAAATAACTTTTTATAAAATGGTTTAATGTGTTTTGCTCGTTATTAATGATTACTCAATGATCAAACCAAGCCTGAGCTAATCTATGTTTACTCTACAAGGAAAGATTACAAAGTCAAAAGTTGACAAATTTCTTATCCTTTAAGCTTTCAACAGTCTCCATGAGGCTCACTTCCAATGGAATAAAATCAATTCCCAAAGTTTTTGCTTTTTCCTTAGAAACCTGATATTTAGGCTCCAATGGCCTCTGGTCTGCACACCTATTAAATATAAATAAATGCATCTTAAGAGTGAGAACAAGTGACTTGGTTTATCAAATGATTTTTGAAGATTATGATCATAATCTGTTATCATTAAGCCACAGGAATATAGGAAATTTAAACAACTCTTCTATAGAACATGTGTTTCATTAACTCTTCTATAGTTTCAATTTCTTTTTTCTTTTGAAAAATATGGATTGATTGATACAAAATCCATCACTAGGGTAATCACCCATACATCCTATCTTCTTCCAAGCTCCAACATTTACAGTTCAACATGATAATATATTGCAAGAGAGAACAGACAACTATTAAAGTAGAAAAATGATCAATAATTTTATTTTTAGTATGTTAAAAAAATTTCAATAATGTTGCAATAAGGTTAGAGAGGAATATATAATGAGGTAAGCATTTTCAAACTTATAGATATAATCAAGGGAAAATCCCAAAAAAGTGATAGTTGAATTTTAAAATGCCAAATCAGTATTCGTTACTACACTCGTAAAGAAAATGACTATATTTAAAGAGCAAATGACAACACATTTTTGTAGTAATTCCTGATTTGGAATTTTGAAATTCAGTAGTCACTTTTTTGAGATTTTCCTTATAATCAAACTTACTTTTCAGGAAGTTCCAACAAGGGGTATAGTTCACTCAATATCTTTACAATATCATAGAAGTGTGCTACCCTTTCAACCAAAACATATCTTCCATTAGCTGAACAAGTTTCAAATGCTTGAATATGGGCATTTGCAACATCTTTCACGTTGACCCATCCAAAACTATTATATGAAAATGTTTGTGCACCTGCATTAAACAAGGATAAAACTACTTTCTCTGGTCCCTTTCATAAGAGACGAATAATTAATTCTCAAGAATCAAAAAATGCAGTTAAAGTAGGTTGAATTAGTAAATATGTTACAAACTCAAGTAACTTGTGTAGTTTTGTCATATTTTTCTTTGAATAACTCTGTTTTATTGGATCATAGGTAGTTTTATACATAAATGTTTTATTTTCTCATGAATTAATGTATTTTTATTTACATATTGTACGATTTTCAGGGTTATTTATGAATACTTTTATATATGTTTTGATTAAATTATATTATTTCGATCATGACTACTTTGAATCTCATCTGAACTACGAACTCTTGGACCACCGTTTCAACCGGTTAAATAACTAGTTATCAAATTTCCACTAGCCACAGTTATGAAAATATTTTTGCTGAAGATGATCAATTAACTCAAACGATCTTTGAATACTAAAAAAAAAAAAAAGGTTATTGTTTATTACCATTTATCAGATTTAAAATTACAGCAGCACTAGCGTTAAGCGTTGGTTGCAAGAGTGGTCCAATTGTTGTAGCTGGATTGATCGTAACCATGTCAATTTTGTTCTCCCTCACAAATTTCCAGGCAGCATCTTCAGCCAAAATCTTGGAAACTCTGTACCAAAGCTGAAAGCACCAAATTCGAAACAACATAGGAAACCTGGAAATTCATGTTTGGAATCACACTAGCAGAAGCCAAAAACATGGTTTTGACATCACCGCCCAAACATGATGATTCCAAACACGCTTGAAGATGCTGTAAATTACTATGCATCACAAATAATCGCATTTGCATATATCCATTGGAACAATTATGGGATTTCAAAATCAAAACAAACTCACTCTTAATCAAAACATAGGACATGACAGCAGGCAAAATACACAAGGGTCTGACTGAGAATTTTGGCAAGGTCTGAGATTGTTTCAGGAGGAAGGAGCCGCTTATGGATTTACCAGCAGTGATAGCCAAGTTGCAATATTGTCGAGCGAGTGTCATGTAATGTTTTTCTTTTGCATTATAAGACAGGCAGTGAAGTCCTAAGGTTATAAACAGGATTGAATCCGAGACCTCCTACTGCGACTAGACTAGGCTATGTACAAAACCATTGGCATTGTCATGCAGTATTGATGGAGGCCATAACTGCCATTTTGTTGCAGAAATGAGGGAGGGGGGGAGAGAGAGAGACAATTCTCATTAACAGCATCATCTGACTTTGGCAGTCTCGAAGTTCTAGGCTATTGACTAATCTGATGTCTATATCATATCTTCATTAACACCATGATGTCGCCTGAGCAAGGCCCTCATACCTTAATGTTGGATGACCTCTGGGCAAATCAAACATTACTCATTTCTGCATTAGTAATCTAAGCACAATAAAATAAAGAGCATACCTTAGATTCCCTACTTAAATCAAGATCGCGTTCGCATTCTGTGCTCAGCACTCAAAACGCACAGCGTTTTGAGTGCTGAGAATTTTTATTTTTTTTTACTTTATTTTTTTGTTACAAAAAAATTTATACCATCTCAAATTATTAATATAAAAATTATCTTGATATTTAATTTAGTCTTAAATATAATATTCTAATCTACTTTATCTCTTATATATATTTATTTTTTTCAATATAATCCTTATAATAATTGTACGTGTTAAAGATTTAATCAATTGTTGATTTTAGTTAATACACATAATTAGTGAGAGGCATTTTAGAGAAAACAACACTTATTTATTACAACTGACTAATTTAGCTAATTTTTGTAGTACACTTGAATTAGTTAAACTAACTCTTATATTAAAAATCAGAAGAAGTATGTATTAAAATTATTTTTGGTTAACATTTATCTAGTACTCAAAAAAAAATTTTTTAGATGTTTTCAATATCTTAAAGTATTTTATCATTTATTTAGTACCTTAAAATATTTTTTCACGTGCATTTAATGTTTTAAAAAAATTTCTATTTCTTGATATTGTATCATAAAATATTTTAGAATACTAAAAAATATTTCAGGATACTAGATAAATCATAAAAGACTTTAAAATACTAGATCCTAAAATATGTTTTTAGGTAAGCCCAGTCACAAAGTATTTTAAAATAATGAACATATATGGAAAAATATTTTAGGTACCAAATAGATCACAAAATACTTTAAAATACTAGATTCTTAAATATTTTTTCAAATGCATTGTCAGAAAATATTTTAGAGCACTAAATATATATAAGATAATATTTCAGGATATGATAAAATATTTTAAAATATTGAATGTGTAAAAAAATATTTAGGAGTATTAGATAAACTTTAACTAAAAATAATTCTAATACATATATTTTTTTGTAATAATAAAAAAAAAGGTCCTCATGCTCAGCACTCAAAACATCCACGTTTTGAGTGCTGAGCACTCCGTGGTCATCAAGATGATGAGCACGGAATGCGGATCCAATCAAGATCTGATAACCATGTTGATAAATCCCCATTTTAATATATTATTTAATGTCTTTTTGGGGATATTTATTAATTAAAGTGGAATAATTTACATTGGTTGTAGATATTTTGAATTAAATACTGGTGGTACAAAATTAGAAATTTAAAAGAAAATCTTATCATATTTTATCTCTTTTTAAATAATTAATTTTGGGCTTTATAATAGTATCTCAATTTATCTCTTGCAGGTCTCAGAAAAGGAAATAAACATAGAAGGAAAGTTGAAACAAAAGGAAAAGAATTAAAAAAAAGAGAAAAGGAAAAAAAAATCAAGTGATGGAAGCCACGAATTTGCATTAGGTTATTATATTAACCTAATCATCAATTGCCATAGGAGGAGGCTATATATACAATAACGCCGCACGCTTACCATCGATCATACCCTTCCCTTCACGCATACACCACTGTGGCAACACTTCAATTTCAATCTTCCAAATTCATCTTTCTTCTCCTCCATCTATCCTCCATGGCTACTGAATCTTTGGAATGAGTTGTAGCTTGGTTCAAGACTATGAGAGGCTGAGTTCGCTGTGCTCTTTGGGATCGAATTCAATGACTTGAGTTTGGGAGCTATAAAGGGGAGTTTAATTTTAGTTCTTAGTTTAGACTATTTTGTTGATGATTTCTGGTTTGAAGTTTGTTATATTTGGTTTAAAGCTAAGAATTGCTAGTTGTAATTCTTGGTTTGGATTGGAATTGCTGAGATTTGGATTGGTATTTATAAGTTTGAGTACTTGGTTTATACATATATTTATGTTTATGCCTTTGTTAATTCATTGTTAGTGTGATTTTTATGCGAGTTGTATAGAAATTATGCTTGAAGTGAATTTAACAAATAATTAATGTTCTAGTTGAGTATTAATTTAAAAGGAATAACTTATATAAACTAGTCTTAACCACTTAAGTTGCTCCCATATCATTAAACAAGCCAGGATAGTCATTGATTCATTCCTTAAGAACATTCTCGTTATTAATTTCTTACAATTCAAATTTGCATTTTTCATTCTTTCTTAAAAATACCAAAAAAAAGTAGTTTAGCTTTATTTCTTACTTTCTTAATTAGTTTTATTAATTGAAAAATCCTTTTTCAACCCCTCCTTTCAATTCTTTGTCACTTAGTTAACTAAGGAATTAATAAAAAGCTCCTCAAGAAACTCGACCCGAGTTGTGCTTTACTGCATAATTTGGTTTTATTTTTGATTTAACCCAAGGCGATTAAAAAGGTTCAAATCAAGTGGCGCCGTTGCCGGGGAGCCAAGTAATTGGTTCCTTAGCTCTTTCTATTTTCTTTAAATTTATTTTTTTCCTTAGTTTAGGTTGCATTTGCATATCATTAATTTTTTTAAATAAAAATTTCAAAAAAAATCCTGATTTTATTTTAATTCTTTTTATTTATTTATTTATTTTGGCATACCTTGCTTGCATTTTGCATCCCTCCATTTATACTTGAATCTTTATTTGTTTTTGCATTTTGTTGCTCTAATTTCTCTGTTGCATGCCCAGAGATAAAGAACCCTTACCCTATGATCCTGAGCTTGAGATAACTTTGAAGCAATTAAAGAAGAAGAAGAAGAAAAAGGATCAAAACAGTACAAGTGAATTTGCCTTAGAACACCATACTCCTAGTGCACCTAACCAAAATCTAGACATGGCAGATCGTACTGGTAATGGTGATAATAATGGTGAAAATGATAGAAACAGAAATGGGGGTAATGGAGATAATAACAGTCATGGGGAAAATCATGTGCCTAGGAATAATGGTGAAGACCAGAGGAGTCTTAGAGAAATAAATAACTCTATTGTGAATTTTGATCCTCATGGTTTTTATAATTTTGCTGCTAATTTTGAAATCAAAGGTAACTTGATTAATACTTTGCTTAAATTTTTTGGTCTTTCAAGTGATGATCCCTATGGACACATTGAAACTATGATGATGGTATGCTCCACTATGAAGCCACAGGGTGCAAATGTAGAGGAACTTTTGAGAAGAACGTTTTACTTTACCATGGAAGGAAAAGCCAAGGAATGGCTAAGAACTTTGCCCCAGCACTATGCTACACTTACCTGGGAGCAACTCAAAAACGCTTTTCTTGAGAAATTCTTTCCTGCATCTCAGTCCTCCAAGCTTAAGAAAGCTATCTTCGGAGCACAACAAGATGAAGGAGAGTCATTCTATGAATATTGGACTAGGTTTTTAACCATGATGTCTCGGTGTCCAAATCATCAATTGCCTAAGTCACAATTGGTTCAGTATTTTTATGAGGGTCTCTTGCCATACTATCAGAAGACTGTTAATGCTGCTGCTAATGGTTCAATTCTTGATCTTACTCCGCAAGGTGCTTGGGACCTCTTTGAGAAGACTGTCAGGATTCACTGCAACCAAGTCAATGTTATTCTCTTCTGCAAATTTCAAGGCAGCTTCTTCAGCCAAAATCTTGAAAACTCTGCATGCATGACAAATGATCCCATTTTCACCGACTGGAACAACTTTGGGATTCAAAACTTAAACGAAAGTGACTTCAGTCCAAATAGAGGACACCAAAAACAAGCAAAATACACTCTAATGAAAAATAGAACAAATACACAGGTTTGTGGGTTGTTAAGATGAAAATAGTTGAATAAAAAGAAGACACAAGTGATCTGAGTCACCTGACGGAGGATTTGGGCAAGGGCCTAGATGGTTTCAGGGAGAAAGAGTCTTTGTGGATTTCCCAGCGCTACTGAAGTTTTCTTTGTGGATATGATTGATATGGAGTTTTCCTTCTATTGACTAATTTCACCGTATTATGGAGTGTTATGCCGTATTGAAGGAGCGACAAAGCATTGACAATATCATCTTATTCTTACCTCAGGAGTTATCCACACCACAAGAAGCTTAAAGAAGAAGCGCCATCAAAATGGACCTGAAAAAGGCCTACGATTGGACCCGATGGGACTTTCATTATCGAATGTCTAAGAGAACTGAGAATTCCTGAACATATCTCCAAAGTGATTGAACAGTGCGTTTCATACCCCACATGCAATTTCCCTACAACGGAGCAACAGGAAATGAATCTACTCCCTCCGGTGTGAGACAGGGAGACCCGCTTTCACCACATCTCTCTGTCAGATTGAGAGGCTTGGACATCTGATATAAAGTGCACATCTCGAAAATTTTATCACATGGTACATCGGTAAGGTATTCTTAGAAGGACAGCGCCTATTTAATAATATAAATAATTGACTTAATTAATTTTTTTAATCTATTTAAATTAGTTAACTAGTTCTTGTGTTAAGTACTGGAGGTAGTAGTATTTCTCAAGAAATGTGAATCACACTTGTAGTTGATTTTGGGAAATTTTTCTAATTTTCGTACCCACAATGAACCTTGGAAAATACCTCGGCATGCCAATTCTTCATGGGAAAGTATCCATGAAAACGGACCCCATGTTGCAACTCCTACAGAAGGAATTAGTTAACGTCGCTAATAATATAGATGTCAGTAGTTAGTCCTTGTTGATGCCGGTGCTAATTTAAAAAAAAAAACAAAGAAAGAAAGAAAGAAAGAAAAGAAGACGCTACTTGAAGAAGTATTTTCCGCCTCAATTTGCTCATGCTGGTATTAAAAGAAAGGTGGATATGAATCTCCAAATCTCTTTGATTATTTTTCTTTTTATCAAATCCTTATAATTTCACATAACTGTAAACAGGTCCTTATATTTCCTTCTTTTATTAATGTTTTTATAATTTCATCTGATTTTTAATCAAATCCTTTTAGGTTTAGTTGGTAGATAAAAAAGAAAAAAAAAAGAAAAAAAAAGCATAGGAACTTGGTTTAAAATCATGTAAAGCTAAAAACCTGATAAAAAGAACAAAAAAAGAATATAGGAAACTGATTAAAAATTAAATGAAATTAGAAGGACCTAATTAAAAAAATACAAGGACATGATTAAAAATCAAGTAAAACTGTAAAAACATGTAGATTAATTTTACCTAAAAATGCCAACATTCAAAATATTAATTTATAAACAGCATGCAGACAAGCCAAAGGTCTTTCAAAATAGCTCCTACCTAACACAAGCATTGTACCCCTCTCAGTGTCCTATAAAGCACCGTTTATTGTATTACAAAAGATCAGAGTTTTCAAATCCACAGATACAACTCAAGGCACGCTTGAGCTAACCAACCAACATTTACTCTTAAAATAGGGATTACAAAATTAAAAGTTGACAAATTTCTTCTCCTTCAAGCTTTCCACAGTCTCCTTGAGACTCACCTCCAACGGAACAAATTCAATTCCCAGTGTTTTAGCCTTTTCTTTAGAAACCTGGTATGTCGGCATGAACGGCTTATCATCCGCACACCTATCAAGTACAATGAGAAAGCAAGCAATGAGATTAGCAAAAATCAGAATGAACGTGTATGAAGTGAGAATACGGGCCATTTGGTTTATAGAATAGAATATGGTTTTGAAGGAATATGATCAAACTCTTGCGATCAAATGAGAGGAACACAATATTAGGAAATTTAAAGAATTCTCCTATTGCTCTAAGTTAGATGTGTTTGGGAATCATACATTTCCTTTTAGATTTCTTTCAATTGAAAGTATGGATTCATGAAAAATACATCACAAATGTTGGAAGATGCAAAGATCCAAAAGTAGCCTATGAGAACTCCTTGCTATAGGATTTGATTGACAGTCACGGTCGAGTCTTTAATTTATTTTTAAATTGAAGCTTGCCATCCCTTTTCCTCCCCTGGATCCAAACATATTCATTCATTTCAAGTTGTAAATACCCATCATTTCAGGTCTTTAATTACCACCAATTCAAACACACCATTCGCTTCAAGACCCAAAAATACACAATGATCAAAATACTGGAAACACAGAAAAATTTACATCAAGCTCTAAGACGACATAGATATTCCACAGCAGTTAATTGCTGATTTTTCAGTCATGATAGATTCTAGATTTCTGGTATTAAATTTAACATTAGGCATTTATGAAAATCTGAAAAATGAAGGGACAAAAAACTTCGTTTGTCGGTCATGTTGTACCATAAAAACCTTCAGTACCAAACAAAGTAGAAAGCATTGCTTTCCTTCATTATTTTTTTCTTTAAAATAGAAAGTCAAAACATGTTACTTACTGGAATGTGTCTTATGTTTCACGCATTAAAGAAATTTCCACATAAAAAGGTTACATAACGTCCAGAATTCAAGTACTTCTCATATCTTCTAACCAATTTTATCACAATTGATAACCTATACGTTGTATAACACTCCAAACCACATTAATCATTAATCAGTATTAACCTGGGACAGATAAAGATAAACGGTAGGTAGATGGTGGTAACTCATGCAAGGATTTACACAAGTAAATTTAGGGACAGTTTGTTTAAAATTAAAGAGGGTAGTTAAGTTTGACACTTGAGTTGTTGGGAGAAGTTAAGCTAATCATGAAGGTTTTGTTAGGGGAAAAAAATCAATTTTAGCTTTCTTTTTTACAAGCTATTCTGAATAGCTTATCAAAATATCCTATTTCCAACAGATCCCTCGTGTGTTTAGGTTAAATTCTCCTAAAAACTCCCTTATACTTCCAACAACTTTCTCATTTTTAGCCTAATTAAAATCACTTTTTTCCAATCTTAAACAAATTGGCCTTTATTTAGGTTAATATTAAAAAGTTTGATGCTTTCACTGCAAAACATGGTAGATTAGACAGCCATTGATTAACGTGATAATACGCCGCAACAAAGTAGAGACAGTCATTGAGAAAGAAAAATGAAAAAGATAATTTATGCTTCAACATTTTAGAAAAGATATAGATTCGCAAACAGATTAGAGAACGACATATAACTAAACTATACACTATATCCAGTCTTAAACTTGTAAAAATAATTGAACTTACTTTTCAGGAAGTTGCAATGTCAGGTACAGCTCACGTAAAATCTTCACAACCTCTGAATAGTGTGCCACTCTCTCAACCAAACAATATCTTCCGCTAGCAGAAGGAATTTCAAGTGCTTGAATATGGGCATTTGCAACATCTTTCACATTGATCCATCCAAAAGTCATATTTGGAAATGTCTGGGCACCTGCATAAATCAAGGATGGAAAGAGTCCCTAAAAGGTGGAATGCAAAACTCATGTCTGGGGCCAAACATAGAGTATATATAACACATAAAAGTCATCAAATATTTTTCAAAGTAACAACAAAAATTAAATCACAAACAAGTCAGACTATTGGATCCTAAATAAAGAAATTTTGAAGGAAAATAAATTTAGATTATGATTTTGTTCCTCTGAAAGATAAAACCACTGTTCTCAACCAGCAACTGAGGTCCATGTGTCTAACACGTCCTAAGTGACAAAGTCTACTTTACATTTTGTATAGAAAAGAATTATGTCACTGATTTTTGTGCCAATTCCACTCCATGGGTTCCATTTTCCTTTTAATGAGAATTTAAGTCAATGAGGATAAAGAGTATCTAACATTATAAAAGTTTAAAGCTACAAAAGGAAAAGCAAATGTTTTCATCTAGCATAATGCTAAGCATTATAATTCCAATGCACATTAAAACAAGTTTAAGCTACTGATTAAAATATTACAACTTTCACACTTCGTTCTGCACTTACTATCTTGTGACACTGATGCTAGTTCTTTTTTCATTTACTAAAGCCCTGAAAAACAATCGAGTTGGAGTAGACCATGTAACTCAGATGCTTCATGAATAGAAAAAGAAAGTACCATTTATTATATTCAAAACTGCAGCAGCACTAGTGTTAAGAGTTGGTTGCAAGAGAGGTCCTATCACCATTGCTGGATTGATGGTAACCATGTCAATGTTGTTCTCCTTTACAAATTTCCAAGCAGCATCTTCAGCCAAAGTCTTTGAAACTGTGTACCACAGCTGAAAGCACAAAATTGGAAAAAGAAAGAAACTTGAGGACATTGTAAACTAGTATGCATGACAAATAATCTGATAGGATTCCTAGTAAACCAACCATGACTTACCAAAGGCGAAATAAAAGGAATTCAGGTTTAATTTGACGCGGTCCTTCTAGCTTCATTTCAACTAATTATTTTCTTTTATTCTCTTTTTGTTTATGGAGTCAGTTAGCTAAATAATAGGATCATTAAGGTCAGTCATGATCCATTCTGTTATTCCCATTTTCATTGTAATCCCGAGAATGTAGGGATATTTCACTGTTTCATGATTATCGCAAGCATCATGTAGTTCTATAAATATGTTAGCCGCCCTGTTAGCTGACATATGAGTGAATTGCAGTTTCAGTTCAATATTCCAGAGATTCTCTTGGGCTATTTTCTCTGCTTATAGTGAGATCCTTACTGTGAGGGAGAGGGTAGAGTGTTATTCTTTCCGCCTTATCAGTTTTTCCAATCAGAGCACATACCATAATCACATTTGCAGCCACTGGATCACTGTTTGATATCAAAATCAAAACTGAGAGACTTTAGTCCAAATAGAGGACTTGAAAACAAGCAAAATACACTCTCGTTCCCTCAGAAGCTGAAAAAATTGGGGGAAACGAGGAGGGGGGGAGAGAGAGAAAAATGTCTGTGGGTAGTTGATATGAAAATAATGACAGAAAAGATGAAATTGATCTGACTGAGGATTTGGGCAAGGTCTGAGATTGTTTCACTGAGGAGGAGCCTTCATAAATTTCCCTGCATTGATAGCACATGGTACAATATTGAACGAGTGTTATGGAGATTTTTCTTTTTATTTACTAATTTCCCTGCATTGACCCCAAGATAGTGCCAGAGTAGACCCATTCCACATTAATGGCAGATAGCCTCTCCACCTTCATCCCATTCGACCATAGTGGCCACCATTGAAAATGCTAAACCATATATTACATCATGCCATTCCGATTTTCCCATTAGATAGATAATTGCTATCTCAACTCTAAACAGCATTCATTAGCAAGCATGATTATACAGATAACTTCCGCATTAGTAATTTAGCACAATGGAATATAGTGGATACCTGAGCTTCCCTACAAAAGTCTGGATCTGAAAACCATGTCTCATCAACAACAACTTCAGGAGTTCTTGGCTTTCCATTATATGCAACTGCGGCAACGGAAGAAGTTAAAACAACTCTTTTCACAGATGGAAATTTAGCACATGACTTCAGAACATTGAGAGTTCCCTTCACTGCCGGATCAAGCAGTTCAGTCTGAAATGAGAAAGATAACAGTCATGAGCTAGAAAATAAGGCCAAAAAAAACTGGTAGCTTCTGTGCTTGACTGATAAATTGTAGAAAATGTCAAACGTGTAATCATAAAATACTCAAAATAGTTTACCACTTTCCTCGGCCAAGAATCATGATTAAGAGATTCCATACAGCAATTTATTAATGAAACCAGCCACTAGTCCAAATAGAAACAAGGGCATTCAAAATGAGAGACCTACTCGTTTCTTTGATCTAAAATACATAGTTCCATTCAAAGAGGGTAAGGGCAGAAAGTGCAGTTGTGTTTCTCTTCAATTTTATGGCATTTCAACATTATAATTATACGTCATGAATAGAACTTGCCCAAGGCATGGCATTCTATTCGTTTTAATATATATTGCTTAGAGTTCCCCTTACTCAAGATTGCCTAATTTCAAGTTCAAGGTACACAATGAATTCATTTCATTTAACTATATCGACAAGATCATACTATTAGTTGCCAAGGGAAAAATTTTGGCAAATGTCAACATGACAATCTATCAGTGTTCAGAAATTAACTGCCTGATTATTGGAGGAAATGAAATACTATGCTCTGGTTCTCTTATTATAACGCCTTCAGGTTCCTAGGTAAGAATAACTTTTTGATTGCTCATTTGGAACTGCGATGAGGAAGACCTCATCTTAATGGTTCTCCCACTCCGCTCCCTCTCACCTTCCTAGATATTTAAAACCCTGTTCAAGCAGATTAAAGCAGTAAAAACAGAATGCTTTGCAATAGATAGACCGCATTCAAATATTCGTCAACAAAATGAAGGATGCGATGAACCTGTGGATCTTTGACATCATGATAAAAGGGAGACGCAGTATGAAAGACCCCCTCACACCCCTCAACAACAGGATCAAAGGAACCTTCATCCAGGAGGTTTGCTTTAACCAAGTGCAATCTCTCCTTCGCACCATCAAGTTTGACCAAGTGTTCTACCTTTTTGGGATCATCTGCAGGGAGTTACAAACCAAAATAAAATTGTCATTCAAAATCCTAATAATTAGCATTATAAGAAAGAACAAGAAAAATTGACGCAATTTAACGACACTGAAACTTGGAAAGCATAATGCAAAATGGAATCTTTGGGGAACCCATGTAAAATAAATCTTTATCCTTATGAGCATAACCTAATCCTTGCTAGCTAATTGCACACATATTCATTTTCACTATCAAAGGAATATGTTACGTGAAGATAAGGATACGGCCACAAATTTACTACAAACACTAGCAAAAGTACAAAGCAAAAGGAAAATATCAGAGCCATGAATCCCGTTTACAGGACCATGTTTATTTATTTCTGGGTAATTTAGTGATGATATGCTTGGCTGGCTGGAGACCATTTTATCTTTTATGAACCATCGCAACGCCTGAAACTAGAGTCCAACGATGGGAAGATGAGATAAGAGCTCGCAGGAACATAGCTCTCGCAGAGGTTCGTATCATAAGGATCAATCTTCAATTCCCAATTACCATATACAATCCCCCTCCCACAAAACGACAAGTAAAAGATCTGGAAACGGATATCTAAGCAATGCTAAATCCCAACCAAAAGTAGTGACAGAACACAGCAAGGAAAGTGAATTCCGGAGAATTCATAGAGATAAAAGCGACAAAATAAAAAGGGATCACTCACTAGGGTCGCGAACAGTGGCCTTGACAGTGTAACCACGATTGAGAAGGAACTTGACGAGCCATGAAGCAATATAACCAGAAGCACCAGTGACACACACGAGCTTCCCTGCGTTGTTGCTCATTTTCTGTCTTCCTCCTTGGTTGCTCTGCTGCTGCCCGCCTATTTATGGGAGTGAGGCAGGATCGGAGGAGCCTTACGTATATATAGCGGAGGCACACCGCCACGTCACTGTCAGCGTCAAAACGAATCCAATAAAATATTCACAATTGTTGATAATAAACAATTCTTAAACCATCCTTTTTAAGAACTACCCTCTTCCTTACCAGTAATTTTAGTGTTTAAAATTTTACTTTATTTTGATTTCCGTTCATAAAATTCTAAACCAATAATTTTTATTTTTAAAACATAATTTTATTTTAATTTTGATACTTGAAAGATACTGTTCTAAAAACTAAAAAAATTTTAAACTTACTAAAACAAATCGAATTTCAACAATAAAAACTTTTAGTTTCAAATTTTATTAAATTTTAAATACCAAAATCATTAATTTTAAATTTTAGACAACACAACCATAAGAAGTCATATCTTTTAGGATGTAAAAATTATATATGTTGAAAATATCTAAGTATTTAATGTATTTTTTATATGTTTACTGTAGAAATAACTTTTTTTCCATATTTATTATTTTTAATTAACTTTTTATCTACATAAATTGGTAATTTGTATCTTATAGAAAGAAAATGAGGTGATGCTTTCAAATTTTAAACATTTGCAAAATATAGTTATAGTCAGTTTGCTATGAGAGAAATGGAGGGAATGAGAAGGGAGGAAAAATTTTAATAATATTGTTTTAAAAAATTAAAAAAATGGGGTTAAAATTTTTTGATTAATTTTAGTTACTCTTTTATTTTATATTTTCTTTTTATCAAATTTTATAATCCTATTTTTTCAATTTTCTAAAACCAGCTTATTAAATTTTTTTCTTCTCTTCCGTCTTCGTCTATTTCCCTCATACCAAACAAACCTCTTAATGGTAAGATAATAAATTTACTTTTTATAATAATAATTATTACCAAAAAAATGTTATGGCTAACTGTGTTGTAATTTGATGATTTAAAACAAACTTTGTAAAATTAAAGAATTAACTTGAAATTTTAGAAAATAAATTAAATTACAAAAAAGTCACTTTTATTTCATTTAAATGATAAAATTTATTTTGTACAATTTTTATTTGATATCGGTGTTCTTTGAGCCTTGGATGTGCATTAGTTCTGGATATTTAACTCACCTGAATATTTTATCTGTTCAAAAAAAATTGAAAATTTAAGGCAAGATTATGGTAATTGATGAAGGTGAGGGAATACTTTTTTTTTTTGTTTGAGCTTAAAATTTTATTCTACCTGATATATGAAAAATATGAAAAAATTTTAATGATGCAGTCATAAACATTATAATTAACTTTAGCGACCTTGGCAAAAAAATAATAATTAACTTTATTGACTAAAGTTTGATAACAATTTTTTCAGATTATTATTATTTAATTAATTGAAACTACGATAGTTTAAAATTTCACAATTTTATTCATAAGTCGTACTTTTATTTAGAAAATTTATAGAGATTAATTTTTTCTCTCAACAAACTATGAAATTTTAGGAAACGAAAATTGGGAAAATTTAATTTATTCGTAGAATTATTTTTTTTTTGGGAGGGTGGGCAGAACTTTTGAATAGAGAATCTTTCTTCATTGGAATTGTTTTTCAGTAGATTAAAACCACCTAGATTAAGCTTGAATTTTTTTATTATTGATTAAAATTTATTGCTGTGCTATATTTTTCTTTGTTGAAAATAAAAGCATAAATTCTACATTATTTAAATCAAGTTTATTTAAAACAAAAGCACAATAGAAAATAGTTGAGGTCAAAAAAACTTTAAAAGGTCAGAAAAAAGAAAAAAGAAAGCAGTTCAATTTTGATAATGGGTCTACAAATTGGCCTTTGCTTCCTCTTCTCATTTCTTTCCTTTTTAAAAAAAAATAAATTTACAGAACAACTGACGAATTCATTTCGTGTGCTCTTACGATCGCCACATAAATTTACGCAGCTATGTCAGCTTTTACCAAATGATGACTTCATTACGTGGGCTCCAAGTATCGAGTTCGTATTTTAAAAAAAATACAGAGGAATGAAAAAATATGGAAAAGAAAAAACAAAATTAAACCAGTATAAATTAATAATAGTTATCAATATTTTTCCTTTTCTTTTTTAAATATAAGCATAGGCATTGCATAATCTTGTTTGAGACAGCGTGAGGCACTAAATACAGAAACCTCTTCCAACAAAATTTCAAACCTTGGTCAATTCTTGATGAGTATTGGATAATTTTAGAAGGGATATAATTATATAAATAAATTAATTAAATGGTTGAAATTTAAAGAATTGAGTTGAGAAATTGTAAATAAGTTAAAATTATAATGACTAAATGGTTAAATTTTTCCTTTCGTTTCTTTTTTTTGGCCGACAGTTAAATTTTTCTTATTTAGTATTAGTATCAAATTAGTATAAAATGCAGTATTGATATACAAATTTGTTCAGGAAGTTTTCAATTTTTTAGGCACCTGAAAATTTTCTTGAATGTAAATTTGTTATAAAAGTTCAAAATTATTAATGATTAATGTTACTATTTTAATAATCGGTATTAATTTTTTAATAATAGGATAACATTACTATAATTTACTCCCTCAGTCCTAAATATAAAATCTTTATACACACTAGTATAAGTATCTTGTATTTAGAACTGGAAGAATATTTGGTTAGGTTTGTAACATGTCAAGTCTGTTAAGAGATCCATTAAAATATACAAACATGCAATGAATGGGCCAAAGATTAATGGACCAAAAGATTTGAAAAGTGGGCTCGCGTTGGTACTTTGTAGGAACAATGGATTAGGGTGCAGTATTTATTTTGCGGAATCGTCTCGCCCTCTTGGACTTTCTTGAAGGATTATGTTCTAATCCTACTTCTCATGCTTCACTTTCTTTAGTTATTGTTTGTCTTTTCTTTTTGAGTTGTTATACTCTTTAATTGATATGTCAAAGTAATATACTCCTCCGGTCCTAAATATAAAACTCATTTTATAGTGTAAATTATACTCCTCCGGTCCTTAATATATGACACAATTGTTGAGTTGGTTTTGGTCCTAAATATAATACTCATTTTTTATATTTATTAATTTTCTCTAAATTACCCCTATGGATACTCCTCAACCATAACCAAGTAGAAGAGGGAGAAGGGGTATTAAAAAAGATGATTATGGTGTTTTAGGAGAAATGTGTCACATTTCTTATAATTAACTAACTTACCTAACTTCTTTAATCTAATCAAATTAGTTAAATGGATCTTACATTAAGAACCGGAGGAGTATTACAAAATGAATCTTATATCTAACACCGAAGTAGTATTACCTTGTGTTTCCCATAATATTTATGACTCCATGCAATGGAATTTATTCTCTTGTGCCTGCATTTGCAAATGTTAGTGGCTGTGACGTCAAAACATATACGATAGCTATATAAATATATATATATATATATAACACTTAATGGTAATTGATTTATTGATTCACACTATTAACAATTTTGTAAATGAAAATGGTTGTGATATAGAGGGTAGAAAATTATGTTACTAGTATAGCAGAGGAACTAAGAGAGAAAATGTTGAATTTTGTATTTGTGCAATTGTTTAAAACTGTTGAAAATTTTGTGGGAGCTCTTAAGTATGAAGTTGTTGAAACTTGAGTTTGTGTATCTTTTGTTTGATTACCTTTCTTCTTCTTTAGCAAAAAAAGGGGGGGGGGAACCTTTCTTCTTCTTCTTCTGTCGGTGAAATCCCTTCCTTTTTCTTAGGTGGCTTCTTAGTTGATGATTGATGAGGCCTCCTAAGTCCTATAATAAATAAATACCAGCACAAAATAAGTAATAAATAAATGAAAAAATCTCCCAAAAAAAATGGCTCTAAAATTTCAAAATACCAAATCAGGTATCACTATCAAAATGTGTTGTTATTTGCTTTTTAAATGCTATCAATTGTTATTAAAGTGTAATGAATAAAATTAATTTGGAATTTTAAAGATATTTTTTTGGCCCTAAATAAATCTGACTAATATGCTCAAATATTAAAGGACCTGAGTCCTCTATTTCTAATTGGGAAGTTAAATGGAAAAGGAAAATTTGGAAGAAGAAAAAATCCTCCATTAAAAATTTTGTTAAGAGAAGAATTTACTCGTATTTTGTATATACAAAAGTTGCAGAGCACCCATATTTTTAACATATAGAAATTTCTTAAACAATACTTACATCAAAATTTTTTATATTCATTGTACCAAATTTTCTAACGAGACATGACCATGTGCCCTATTTTTAAAATATCAACATTTAATAATATTTAATTATAAATCTACAAAAAAAAACATGCGTGACTATGTGTGATTGGAGAACTTAAGATAATGGATATAAGAAATTTTTTTATCAAAGAATATTAAAAAAAAAACTTGACCTAAATTTTTTTCTAAATTATTGTTTGGAACAAATTTTTGCAATTATGAAGCGCGTTCCACCCCAGATTCTTATTAAGTCAAAACTAGTAAGGTTTTCTAAATCAATTAAATAACTTTTTATAAAATAGTTTAATGTGTTTTGCTCGTTATTAATTATTACTCAATGATCATTTTCTAAATCAATTTGATGAATTTCCTACTTAATTTAATGTCCTCTATTTTTTAATTATTAATATTTACGAGCTATTTATGAATCTCTAATTATCAACTCTAACAGTTAGTTCTGAAATACATCTTCTTAATTCTTTCACTAGCCCAAATTTACATTTTAGTATACATTAAAGCTTCTTTTTATTTATTTTAACAATTCAAAACGCCTCCCCCGAAAAAAGACCCACACATCACACAAACACATCCACCTCATATTTGGTTATAGTGGATATAGAACCCACAACCTGCTTTATGAGCGAAGGTATGGGATGTCATTGAGCTAAGAAGTTTTTGGATATACTAAAGTCTTTTCAATCTTATTGACTTCTTTTGACATGTACGTTAAAATTCCAATAGTTTTCACTCCAATGCATGCTTTGATCAGTTCTCACTT